TCCTGTGCTGGGGCAGGAAGGGGCAAGGCAGGGCAGGGCAGTGCTTAGGGATGATATTGAACCCGAGTATCTCCAGTGCCCTGAAAGTGAGCAGGCCACAGGGAGGTGGCTCCACACTGTGCTTACCACCAAGTTCTCCAAGGCTCCTTGAGGTTGATGTTTGTCAGACTTCATAGACTCAAAAGACCAAAAAAAAAAAAAAAAAAAAAAGGACTGATAAAAACCCAGGATCACACTTATCGGAGGGGCCACAGGAAAGCCGCCAGGTTTATACTCAGAACCACACCCTGAACCAACGGTTTAGCTGCCCAGCCCAATGTTCAGTGACAGGCTGTTGGTGGAGACAGGCAGGGCAGCGGGGAGTGACAGGGAAGGGAAAGCCTGAAAGCCTGCAGCCGTAACCTTCAGTTGGAACAGTCCCTGGGGAAGGAAGGAAGAGCCCTGGGTCCAGGGAGAAGGAAAGAAGCATGATGCCTTAGGTGCAGGGCTGCACGTGTATGCGTGTGCGGGTGCAGCTGTGTTAAAGGAGAGCCCATTGACTAGGACCCCTGCAGGGTTTGCGGTTGTGGCAATGTGAGTGGTAGGATGTGACAGCTGAAACGGGAACTGGAAGACGGGAAACAGCCATGCCTAGGAACACCACGGAAGGTTTCAATAGTGGCAGACTCACGGGGAATCTGCTGCTGTGACTTCACTTATGGCTGGAGGGGAGATGGGAAGAACGCCTGGATAAGCAAGCTGGAACCCCCACCCTAGCCCAAGTACCACCTGGTGGTCAGACCTCCAAGAACCTGCCACAAAAGAAAAACACCTCAGTTTCCCCATCTGCAGAGGCAAAGAAGGTCTTTAGTGACTCTCTTGAAAGGCGTAAACTGGGTATTTGAGGAACTGGGGACAGGGGTGAGAGCATGGTCAGAGAGACCATCTGCAGGCTATGGTCACCACTGAGCACTCAGCTTGTCCAGTGGGGTCCTAAGCCCTCTCTGTGACTGCTAGGGCTACCTGAAGCTCAGATGGCTGTCCCCCACAAAAGTCCTGGCCATATTACACCTGGCTATGCCATTTACCCACCAACCCCCTTCCTGCAGTGTGCATGAAGCAATCTCCATTATCACACATGCTTGGCATTTTTGCCTGATAATCACACCTCCCACAGCCCCGGGAGGATTAGGGCATGATGAGGGAGGCGGGAAAACTCTGCCGAGTGGAGCCAAAGTCCTGCCAAGAGAATTGGCAGCCTAATTTGATTGCTGCCTGTAACTTTGGGGATCCTCTGAGGGTCTGGTGGACATGTTCGGACCCTGCACAGGGCCTGTGGTAGCACAGGGCACAAGATATCACCACCTTACCCAATTATGCACTCCTATGTTATCTTCCCACCAGCAGCCACCCCACTCCTGCCCTGTGTACGGGGTCTTCATCTGTCCTCTGCTCCAAACACTGGTCCTCTGGGCACACTCTGTTCGCACGCAATGAGGTAGACAGATAATTGTGACCGCCAAGGTCTGTCTGCCCACACTGTGCCTTCCATCTGGAACGATCATTCGCTCAATGATGCTTTAAGGCCCGGGGAGAAAGCTTCTTCTCTGTCCCTTGGAGAACTTGGCAAGAAGCATCCATCAAGCCCTTACAAGGTGCTGGGACCTGCTCTAAGTGCTTCAGTGTGTGAACTCGCTTCTTAGCTAGAACGCTGTGACGCTGCCACTTCATACACAAGACACCAAAGCTTGGCACACCAAAGTCAGGTGCTCAGGGCCACATGTGTCAGGTGGATGCTGGGGCCACTGCTTTCTCCCAGACCTACAGTGTGAGTTTCCTGGGTAGCCCTCTGAACTTCATGACAATCACAAGCTCTAGCAGAGTATTTCAGATTTGAACTGGTTCACCAATTTAGAATGTGGATTCCAGGAGAGTGTGACTGGGATGGAACCTGGATGAGAAACTCACAGCAGTGCTGCTGGTCTGAAGATCGTTCTTTGAGCAGTAAAGCTAGCATCCCCAAAAAAGGGAAAGTCCTCCATTGTCACTGCTGCTTAGCAGAGCCCTGAGGGCATGTGGCAAGCAGGTCTCTTCACTCTTAGCAGACTGGAGGCCCTGCTGTCCATTGGATGCTGGCCCCATCCCTGTGACACAGGCACTGGGGGCAATCAGGCCAAGTCTGAATGCATCCTTAATTTTGGACATCTCTAAGCCCTGGTCTACTTTTGACCCCCAGAAACTTCAGCTATCCTGGAAACTGCTCTGAGGGAATAGAGTCAATTTTCTACCAAGCCCCTTCCTGGCCATGAGTAAATGTGAGCAGTTTGGGTCCTGCAGTTAGCAAGGATGTTTTTGTATAGAGGCATCAGCTGCAAGGACAGAAAAAGATGTATCCTTGCTCCTAAGGCCAAGTAAATCAGGCCCCAGGACGATTCCTTGAAAGCCTGCTGTGAACCACAGAGTGTATCCCCAAGTAGAGCAACAGACACAGAAAACTGTGAACCCTTAACACTCATGTATGTGAGCATTAAAGATTTTAGTACAGGTTGGGAGAGGGCTATGCGACACAGAAGCCTACCCACTTCATCCCTAGAAGTCAATGTCCAAATGGACAATGGCCACTTGTGATGGAAGGAACGGCAGCTGAGTCACCCAGGGAAGAGTTAGGGAAAATGCTGAGGCTCTGAGCACACAGCCAGCGCTGATCCAGTGTTTAGACGCAAAATCACGTGGAGCTTCATATGGTTCTCAAGTGGAGTCCAGAGAGAAGGCTCAGGTGTTCCACCAAAAGGATAGGGGAGAGGTTGTCCGCCACAGAAGAGCTGGCCTACCTAAGCAATAGGTAGGGCATCACACACACACATACACACACACACACACACACACACACACACACACACACACACCCTGCATAAGAAATTCTGAGGAATGAAGGAACCAGAACTATCTGTGTGCCCACTGTTGGCGAAGAGCAGTCTCTAGGAAGGCTGTACTATACAGTAAGAAGTATCTAGTCAATCCCTCTTTTCTGGAAGAGCCAGAGACAATATGGGGTCTAGAAGTCCTAGTGAAAACAGGCTGCCACAGCACTCTGCTCAAATGGCCATCTCAGGGCAAGGGAGGTTTTCCTCACGAGAGTTTGGAGTTAAAGGCCCATTACATTGGTTCCATATACTCTTCATAATGCCAGAAGTCCAGAGCTCGGCCTGTTTGTCCAGCTAGATCAAGGAGCAGACACTACAGAGACAGAGAACGTTAGTGGGAAAAAAACTGCCAGCTTATTCAGGACTTTGCCTCTAAGTAGAGAACACAGAGAACTCTGGACCCTTAACACACAAGGATATGAGTGTTAAAGATTTCTATCAGGCTGGAGAGGGTTATGAGCCACAGCAGCCCACAGCCTGCATCCCTAGAAAACAAGGAGCCCATGTGACAACGCTCACTTGTGATGAGGCACAGCCTCACACGTTTAGTTCCTACAGCACTGAGAGGGTAACTGAGAATGTGTTATGGCTTCAAAGCCTGGGAGTGGTGGTACCTAGTTCTGCCCACCTTCCACACCAGGGCATCATTTGAGTATCTGCATCTGAGCTCCTAGAAAAGCAAGCTCTGTGCTTTGTTGGGTTAACCTTCTACAGCAATGCTGGGAATTGTTTGTTTTCTCTAGCGCTGCCAAAGAGCCCCTGGCAAGGAGACTAAGTGGGTTTCATTGAAAAGATACTTTTCCTCTCCAGGCCGATAAACAAGGCCACTGCAGGGAAACCAACTTCCTCAGTCAGGCACTCTGCAGCGGCCCATCCCTGGCCAAGGAAAACAAATGCATAAACATTTCAAGGAGATATAGGAAGCATTTCTACTGGGAACCTGCTGTGAATGGCCACTAAAGTTTACACAGCAAGCCCCAAGAGAGCCCCTGTGCAGGACACAGCCATCCCCGCCCTCCCATTCTCCTATGGCATGGTTGGCTCCTCCCTGTTGCTCCACAGATCTACAGTTGGGACACAGCATGTGCCCTATCCACAGAAATACAAGACATGCTCTGTAGTTGTCCCCACCAAATCCCCAGTTCCCTAAAGGAGGGGTCTTCTTACAGCAGAGGACACAGCCATAGAGCAGCAAGGCTTCTAAACCCCGTGGGGACACATGGAGGCCAAAGATGGGCTGCCATGAAGCATCTAGGACTCCGGATGCCTCTCTTGACCCCTGTGTGTGAGCACCCACCTCTGCATGGCCCCCGAGCTAGGGGTGGAGGCACCTGCAGGCTTCATCATTATTTTGGTCCTAGTTTCTTACCTGGATAGCCATATGACAGGGACTTTGAGGGCTGGAGCTTTGTCCCTAGTCCCTCTAGTGACCTGCTGCGAGTGGCCCTAGATTCTGGCTTTGATCCAGATACTCCAGCCTGTAGTTCTTCCCCAGCCTCCCACTGCTGTTGTATCACACTGCCTGATGGAAACCATGGGACATATACCAGCGTAGCAAGCAAAGCTCAGAGCATACCGTTTTCCCATCCAACCTCTCTCCTTATTCTGCAATGGGAGTACTTTCAAATCCCTGCCCAGTCACACGGGCAGTGGGTTCTCCCCATGACCACAGGGAAGTCCACACTTGATCCCTCTGCTTGTCCCCGTCTCCTTGGCTCCCACGTGTGGCTAAGAAGTCACTCCCTGGGTAGCTTTCTACCTGCACCCATTCCGGCCTCCTCGAGGCCACCCCATCCTCATGTGGCCTCATAGAAGATTCAGGTTTTCCCTGCCTAGGGCTTTCTAGGGATTAGGCTGCTCTTGGTCAGCAAGCTATATAGCTTGTATCTTAGACTATGCTGTTCCTGTGAAAAACAGAGAGACCAGGGGGCATGACAAGGACATCCCTGAGACAAAGGACAGGGCTTGTCCTCAGATCTTGGCTAGGAGATACTTTGCCCATGGGGTCCTTCACCTCCCTGTCCCACCTTAACCACGATGAGAACAGACCTGTGCTCCCCTCACACCAACCAATGAACCACACAGTCTTGGCCCTGGTCACAAGCTTGACTTTTGCTTTATGAAAGCTGTAGTAACAAGTGTCCAGAGTTCCCAAGGCCAGCCACACCAGAGGCCTTGGAGAGAGGGCTATCCAGGAAGGATGCAGACAGAAGGCAGAGTCTTCAGTGTCCTTCCTGTCGATGGCAGTCACAGCTGTGTCAGCAGTGCACCAGGCCCTATCACAGCCCTTCATGGAAGAATCTGGAAGGCTCTGCATGACGCTGTGGGCATGCAAACTCAGGCAAGGCGACTCCTCTAAGAGACTTGGCCCTATGACCTGTGGTCCAAAGGTCATCCCAGTGATGAGTGATGAAGCCAGGGAGCTTGATGTATCCAAGGGTCACAGGATGGGATCTGAGCCATTCCAGTTCACGGATGCTCCCTTCCATCTACAAGGAAAGTTACAGAACAGTGTTAGAGCTGCAGGGGTCCAGGAAGGAGGCTTTCGGACTCCAGCCTGCCCACTAGCTTTCCACACTCTCACCCAACTTAACACCCATACAGCATGCAGACAGGACAGACACCCAGGACCCTGGTAACTATGGGGAAGACAGGGCTGACAGGCAGCTTGTCCTTTTGTGCCGCAGATGACTGTGCTTGGTGCTGGCACCACAGCTTTCTAACGAGTTATCACACCCAAGTAAATCTGGACCTGATAATGGCCTTTCAGGGGTACCTGTTAGGATCAGGGAAACATATTCTGGGGTGTCTGAGGTTCAATAGAGGAGCCAGGAGGCAGCAAAATGATGCAGAGGAGGCTGGAGAGTTAAAAATAGACCAGGACATTTCTTCTGTGCCACAAGACCAACTGAGGGCTGTGAGTTCCACAGGAACAAGATGAGTTTTAAAAACTGCTTTATAAAGCTTAAGAAGAACTAAGTAGATAAATGGCAGTACCTCAGATCCAACAGGGCAGTTATTGTAGGTGAGACCAGGGAATTTCCTAACACTTGATTCTAATCCACAGAGTTGATCTTCCAAACAATTGATTGGAATCCTATTTATAGCCAATAAAGAATCTATGCAAATCTTCCTTAGGGGTAGTTTCCCTATATATGCATCCTAAGACGACATGAAGTAGAATATGGATGTTGCCAGACAGCACTACAGGGCAGAGTGGGAGCCTGGGGCTCAACATTGTCTCACAGTGTATGAGTTTAATAAGAGGTAACCAACACCATGTTTTCAAATCCAGAGGTCAAGTCAAAATCCAACTGCCACCAGCAAGGGAAAAACAGAACTGTCCTTGTTTTAACTCAGCAACTTTCTGGGAAAGCCCAAATATCCAAGAAAGGAACTTCAGCAAGAGAGAAAACAGGTTCACCCAGTAGCACGCAGTGCTCAACAGAATGACCGGGAGCAGCATGTCTATCCAGAGACATGCCCCCCACAGGTTCATGGTCTCTGGAGATGAAACCTAAGCCCTGGCTCCTGTCAGACTCGGTCTTCTGGTCTACCATGACGTGAACACCCTCTGCCACATGATCCTTCCACTAAAGCTGCTTTACCAAGCATGCCCTCCTCACCCAGATGGACTGAACCCCCAAAACCATGAAAAAAGTGAAATCTCTCTTCTAAGTTGTTCCTGTTGGGTATGGTGGTCACAGCACTATGAACACAACTAAAACACACTGGTTTCTCACCCACAGATTCAACCACCTGTGGATCAAGAAACGGCACAACAAAAACGCACCCCCACAAGCCACGAAACTAACGTGTACTATACATGTACAAGCTGACTTTCCTCGTCACTGTTCTGTAACAATATTATAATGTGTTTACATATTAGATATTATAAGTATCCAGAGACTACATTTTACATATTATATATTACATATTAGCTATTTTAAGTACTCAGAGACTACTATTATAAGTATATTACATATTAGATATTATAGGTGTCTGGAGACTAAACTATACAGAAAGATATGTTAATACTAAGCTATTTTATAGAAGAGATTTAAGCATACTCAGATTTTTATATTCTCAGGTGGCCTTGAAACCTCCCCATTTTTATGGAGTGACAACTGAATGGCTCATCTTGGACCCGATGTTGCTCGCCCTTATTAGCCCATCCACCAACTCAACTCCCACTTCCTTCCGGGGAGGCTGCACTTTGTCCTCTCCAGCTCTCTGCACTGCTGCCCCAGTATCTCTAGCTTTCAAGTTGAAAATTACACTGTTCCAGAGGTAGCGGAATCCATACCCACTCTGTCTTCTAACTCACTTTCCTGCAGGTTATAAGCAGCTTCTTGATAGAGGTATAAACTGTGTTTCCCCTGCTTCATATTTTCTGTTTTATACCATTCCATTTCCCATCAAAGAAACAAGCAGATTTCTTATCATTTGAGAAAAAACAAAAAATAAATTTTAGTTGTAATTCTGTGCGGCAGAAGTTGCACACAGCCACACAGGAATAATTAACATTACACTCTAGCCCCAACTGGGCACAACAGGGACAAGATAAACTTCCCAAACCACCGAGGATGTGAGAATGTCATGTACAAGACAGAATGCTGCCCTAACGTACACCCTAGTCAATGTTCCAGAAACATAAAAACAGTCTACTTAAAAGGCTAGAATAGGTAGATGAGGAAATCAGCTTAGACATCAATATTAATTTGAGGGACTGCTCCCAAAATTCTGTGTTCTCTTTGGTGTCATTTGGTGGCACCCAGCAATGCTGAAAGACCTCACCTCCTAGGGCCACAAGCTTTCTGGCAGTTAATCCATCACTGCCTGCAGGAGAGGCATTTGGTTCTGTTTTGGTCACAGTACTCAGAACCAACTTCAAAAGGAGGTCTTTCCAAAACCAGTGCTGGCAGAATCACCTTCCTAAGATCTGGCCTATCCCAAGTTTGGAAGTAAATGCCAATGCATATTCAGTATTGCCTGCATCATTCCTAATGTGAGAACCCCAAGTTGGTCTCTTAGTCTACTATGTGTGGGAGATCTGGGTGACTCAGTAATCTCTGCTGCTCTAGACAGCTTCCCGAGCCATTTGTAAGTCAGGTGGAGTCAAGGGACTCTTATCAGGTTTGTTTACTTAGACAGAACACACCCCACTTTGATGGAAGGCTTCTACATTGTAGCCTTCCACTGTTCCACTGTCTGAGTGGTAGACATGGCCACCGTACTGGTAGGCAACTCGTCAGAATTTGGAGGACTGACTGTTACGTGAGGAGTCTTCTGTTGGTAAGATTTGGGGGATTGGAATCTCATGAAGTCCCGGGGAAGCAGCATAGGTCTATGAGCAGGGAAAATGGCCCTTGCTATGACTGGTACACTGAGCAGTGTGGGTGGAGAGGGGCTGGGTTCTGAAAGGCAGACTCATCTACTGCAGACACTGAGTTAGCAGCAATTCAGTGATTTGTAACAATATAATACTATTTGAAATGTTTAATCATCTCTTTCTGATCATCTGTGCAGTTCTGAAAATGCACCATAAAAAATCTTCTTATTGTTCTACTAAGATTTGTATGTACACATCAAAGTCTTAGGTACCAGGAACACATCAGTGGCCTGAAGAGATGGCTCAGCCGCTGAGAACACTGGCTGCTCTTCCGGAGGTCCTAGGTTCAATTTCCAGCACTCACATGGTAGCTCACAACTGTCTACAACTGCAGCCCCATGGAATTTGATGCCTTCTTGTGTACAGAAGGACATGTAGACAAAACACCCATATACATAAAATAATAAATGAATATTTAAAAAACCCAAACACACATCTTCTATACAGATTCCTAAACAGTGAGAGAAAGGAGGCACAACGGAGAATGACAGCTCCACCCTCAGCCTGGTTCCTGAGGTCTAGACTGCCATGCTCTTCATATCCGCTCAATCCCCAGACTCTACCTTCCGCAAGGGCAGGCAAAGCTAAGCTCTCCCATGAGCTCTGGACAGACAAAATGGGGTTTGGCTTCAGTGCAGGGTGGGCTGTACTCACCCATCACTGAACAACATCTGTGTCACAGCAGCCTCATTGGCACGCTGCTAGATCTACGGCTGGTTTTGAAGTCATTCACAAGGAAACCAGCCCTCCCATCCTGGCCAGGAGCAAAGGCAGCAGAGAGAAGCACTTTGCTGTGGTATGAGAAATCAGAGTGTTTGAAGTGCAGAAAGCACTGCGCAGGACCGTGGCTCTGCATGGTCTGGAGGAAGAAGAGCTTGGCCAAAGTGGCAGTGGCAATTAAGGACTGCAGGGCCGTGACCGGTGAGATGGAGAGGGGCCTGGATGTGCCGCGGGAGTCAATGGCACTGACACCAGCAGGAACTCAGGAGGCAGGCAGACAGTACATTTCAAAGCGCCTTGGCACTGGATAATTCTGGTGTGGGAGCTGTTGTGCTCACTGTGGGACATTTCGTGCCCTTTCCCTGACTGTAATTGCCGAAAGTGTTTCAAGGCTGCCAGCACAAAGTCAACAGTAACATCACAGAGAGGGCTATGGCATGCAAATACCACCACCCCAGCCCCAGGGCAATCACTGCCCCACAATGGGCTCCAGCCTGAACTGATTCAGACCACTGCTGAACCTGATGGGCTTCACATAGGAAAGGAGTCCATATGGGGCAGCAGCAAAAAGCGGACAGGCCTGGTTTCAATGTTCCAGACTGCTGAAGATGCACCCAGGGGTCCTTATGCTGGCCTTGATCTTCCAGACAGCTTGTACTTAAGTTTCTGTCCCTTGGGCCATTCCAAATTAGAAGTAGTTCTAGAGCCAGCCCTGTATGCTCCGTGGCATCCATGTCCTTGGCCAGTCCTTCTCCTGGCCCACCCAACCTTCTCTAGGCTCAGATCCAGGCCCCTTGCAGAAGAGATCTGACTTAAAGGTAACTCTCAGCACTTGTGCTAGGCTAAGGAAGGGCTGATAACGCCTGTCGCCCGGAGTTCTAAGGTATAGGGACACTCCTCCACCCCAGCTCTCCTTTTGCACATCTACCCTGGAGCCTACTGCTCCCGACCCCAGACTCTTTACATGATTCCACACACCATCCTGCAGTCACCCCCATGCCTTCTCCCCCATCTGATCCTTCTCCCACCTGCCTTTCCCCACATGTCCAGAGCCCCTTGTAAAGGTCAGAGAATACTCCCGTGGGTTCTACTTTCTGTCTCGTGGCAGCTGGGGAAAGAGACAATGATACCTGATTGACAGATGGGCAGAATTGAGTACAGGAAGACAAACCGTAAGATGTGATAAGCCAGGGCAGAGTGGGAATACGTGGACAGCAGCACACCTAAAGAGTGTGTTGGGCACAGACGGTGGGATGCCAAGGAGAGGTCCTTCTGTGGTTAAGGGGCACTGTGAATGGGGATCCCAGGCAAGAGCATCAAGAAGAAGTGGGGTACATAGGTGGATAGGGCATTCCCTAGGGAGTGCAGGTGCCCTCCCAGGCCTCAGAGACGAACACTGACCCTGGCTGGAACCAGTTTCCATCTCTTGTCTGAGAGTCCAAACAGAAACATCTGGGCCCTAACTCCAGGCCCAGTTATGAGTTCTTTCCTCTCCTCTCTGGCCTGTTGACAACTGTTTGATTTTTCTCTCACTCCAGTGAGGATGGAGGCCTGGGAGAGGTCAGTGCGTGCTGTTAGAAATGACCTCCAGAGTCTGATTTGGCTGATGTCGTTTCAGAACAGGGGGAGGAGCAAGAGATGGATGACACAAGACATGCCTGACACTGCGAAGGTTACAAGAGACCCCATGGGGCTGAAGCGTGCATCCTACCAAAGAGCAGGGGCAGCACAGCGCCCTAGTGATGTTTCCAATTAGGATGCCGTTCTCTGAAGGCAAACTTCAGAGTCTGGGCTTGTGCAATGCCTCCGTGACAACAAAGCCAGGTGGCAGGAAATCACACTGTCTGCTCAGTGACCTACCACTGGGCTGGGACAGTGAGAGTCTAAGCTGCTGGTGACACAAAGTGACTGGGTAGACCTCCATGTGGGAAACCTGCACCTCCCCATCTATAAAAGAAAGGGCTAGATTGAAGGGTGTCTGGGCACACCTCTGTGGACCAAGTCCATTGCCAGATGGCCAGATATGCAGTAGGTACATCCTATAGGGTGGGTCATGTTTCCTGCAGGGCCGTAAGGCTGGGCTTAAGGATAAGAGGCTATCTTTCCCTGGATTTGATCAGGGCTGATTCTGAACTTGACTTCCACTTGATTTAACTCCCTGAGAGTGGGAACTAATTCTTATCAAGCTGTTTCTTCTAAATAATCAAGAACAGAGCTTCCCTGAGAGTTGGCACAATGAAAAGGAAATTGCACCTACCCACTAGGTGCGCCAGCTAGCCACTGTTCTCACACACGGATGACACCTACCCACTAGGTGCGCCAGCTAGCCACTGTTCTCATACATGGA